CGAATCTATACAATCCAAAATGGCCCGGCATGGCCAGGTGATTAGGGCGATCGACTCGCAATTTGAGGGCCGCGGGTTCGAATCCCCGTCACACCCAATATGCTCGTCCTTTCAGCCGTGAGAGCGTTATAATGTGACGGTCAATCCCACTATTTGTTGGTAAAAGAGTAGCCCAACAGTTGGCGGTGGGTGGTGATGACTAGCTGCCTTCCCTCTAGTCTTACACTGCTAAATTAGGGACGGCTAGCGCAGATAGCCCTCGTGTAGCTTTGCGCGAAATTCAAAACAAACAAACAATCCTAAACAAATTATTTCGTTACGTATACGGTAGACAGAACTCATTAATTTTGTGAACAAGTTTGACAATGAACTTTCTTAATGAAAATTAAGTACGTGTATATGTAAACCACTAACGTGTCAGATTCCAGTGATGAGATATGGAGTGGCTACTATAGAACTCGACGACAAAGAAAAGTGCATCTTCTAATTTCATGCTGGAAAGACAAATTTCAGATAATAAAGATGATCAACGACTTGGTGTACTATTTCAAAGTATAAAGCAAGTCAAACAAAATAGCGTGCACTGCGACTGGCTTTGGAAACACGATGGTGGAAGAAAACCTATTGGTTATTTTTAGAAGTCACTAAACAAGATAAAAATTCTTGAAAGAAATCAACAGATGAAAAATGAGTTGATCCTCGAGAAGACACTGACCTAAACCATTTCCTTTAATACTTAAAACGTAAAGCAACATTTCAAGTATAAAAGATACTTCGGGTGATCGATCTCCTGACGAAGAAATGATGACAGTGTAAAGATGAAAATAATCTCAAAATATTATCTCAAGAAATGAAGAAAGAGAAAACCTCCTAACAGAGTTCGCTTGTGGACAAGTGGTAAAACTGCAAAATGTATTAATTGGAAAAATGTCCGCGACTTGCCTGCTTAAGAAAAGGGTGATGTCATAGTATTGTAATGTAATAATCTGTTCATTAATTTTTGTAAATATATATATTACATGTTCATCCAACAGACGTCACTGTTTGAAGGAATGATTGAAATAAGTATCTACGATGTGAAATTTTAGATTTCATGAATGGCTTCACACCGCGTAATATATTATAACATGAAAAAGTAGATGGTATAAACAACCCTATAGATTAATAATTCTACTTTATTATTTTCTGTTTGAGGATGTATAGAGTAGCGTTTAAGCTTTATTTTATGTCCTTAGGCTTACTACAAGCTACACTATGTATTTGTGAAATGTATTTTATGCTCATTTTCAGTCATGATTATTAACTTTTTTTTTATCCACACGTTAGTACAGTTTGTGGGAATTCGACCAACTCAAATCAACTCTTGCATTAAAAAGAGATTAAATTAAAATTCTTGAAAACTTATTACACGATGTGAAACCATTTCATGAAACGAATATTTGTTTGCTTGTCGTAAAGCAAAGCTACATTGAGCTATCTGCTGTGTCCACCACGGGAAAACGACCCCCGGATGTTAGCGTTGTAAGTCCATAAACTTACCACTATCCTACCGGGGGACTGAAATGGATGATTTTTAAATGCAGGTGCTACATGACGCTAGCCTTACTGATATTATTATTTAAATTACGAGTATTTTGTAACGTCAGGCAACATAAGCGAGTAAGTGTGAGAGCTCAAGATGTATTAGTGTGTCGCAGTCAGTCAGAATTCAAAGTCAACAGTCCTTGTACAACTAACGCGTGAACCGCTATACACATAAACAGTCTTTGTTTAGGCTTAAAGTTCGTACGAAACTGTTTTACTTGCGAGAAAAGGAAACATCGCTAACCGCCTACTTTTCAACGTCACTCTGATAACGCACCCATGGACGCGAACCATGGAACCTCAAATTCATAGTCAATTAGTAATTCTACCTTATGCTTGAGTTGGACTATCAGTAACAAACGAGGCGAAATAAAAAAATATCCACCCTTTTAGGATTATTTTGTTTTCAACATATATTAGGGATGGAGAAAAAAAAAAGAATTATGAATTAAATTCGAATTGGAACTATGAATCTTTCACGTGACAATCCAAAACGCCAGGGGAATCTAGTTAGCGTGTCACAATATGAAAAATATTAATATTTTTATTTATATTTTCTGTACAGGCATTTATGTTTCTTTCCTTTCCCCTAGAAATAATCACGGATCAATAAAATTAGTCGCTTAAATAAACGATAATTTTAATCGTTTGGCTTAGATGCCTGTTCAAATTGTATATCAATTTTATCCTCTTAATAGTAATAAAGTTACCAGATTAGCACAATCGAAACTTTTCACTACGATAAAGGTCCAGCTGTGTTCAGGGTTACTGATGAGGAGTGGAATTCTCCGAAACTAGTATAACCCAATAACATACATAGATCAAAGTGTAGAATGAACTGGACCTCCTATGAATTTAGACTTACGGGCGCAGGTTAGCCCTGTGGTAGAGCTCTAGATGTAGGAGCTAGCGAGTCGGGTTCGAATCCGTACAATACCAAAAAATATTCATCGCACTTTAAGCTGTGGCTAAGTGATAAGAGCGGCAGTCAATCCTTTAGAGTGAATTGTGGGTGGTGCTGATTTGTTACCTTATCCCCAAGTCAGTAGTTCAAAATTATCTTAGTAGCTTTAACATAATACACAAATAAAAATTATATATATAACGTACCGTAATATAAACATGTCTTCTGACAACTTAAATTCAGCAAACTTAGCTTTATGTTGCCTGTTATAATTTCCAACTACCTTTGATAATGTTTTATCATATTATTTGCATTAAAACCCTATAGTATTTCTGCAATACATAAATAAAGCGATACCAAAATAAAAATTTTTCCTTCTCAACATTTTGCTTAGTAAAAACAAACAAACAAAGCAAAATTTTGATTCAACGCAATTGCAATGAAAAAAAAAATGAAATGTTTTTATTATTATTATTATTTAGCAAAGAAATTAATATGAAATTTTTAAGGAGTTCCTATAACTCCTAGATGTATGGTTTGTTTTGGATATTTTCGCAAAGCTACACAAGAGCTATTTAATTTGGAACTGATAAACTATAAGAGAATGCAACTCGTCAATATAGCCCACCGCTAACTCCTGAGCTATTCAAATCAAATAGTGGGACACGACAGTCACTCTAATAAAGCAGCTTAGCCTCAAGAACGCAAAGAGAGGCAAGCCAAGGACTCTCGGAATTCGTATTCCAGCACGCTAATCACAAGGCCACGGCTGGCTCCAACAAGGTCATGGTCAGATCATATAATTGATACTGATAATACTTTGAAGACAAAATAATGAGAATATAAACTGTTTTCCTTGTATTATTATAACCGTTTTTTTTTTTGTTTTGTAAGTGTGTGTATATTTTGTTTTTGAATTTAAAATCAAACTACGATTCTTTGCCAGTGCGCTAAATAACGAGGTTGACAAGGATTTTTATTAAAAATAAAAAATAAAACCTACGATAATATATAAGCATATCATTATAGGTACTTTAGATTCGGTTACTAAAAAAAAATCTATAAAAAAATTATGAGTTATGTCTCTAGGAATTGGCCAACGGCCCAAATCAATGTTAATTCTTTTATACGTTGAACGTCTGTTTTATACAAAAACTCTTTAACAGTTTTATTGTCTCTAGAGTCGTTTCACATGTTTTCGTGAGCTACAATTTAGTAAAAGATAACATTGTAATTGGTTAAAGACAAAAAACGCCAAATTATTTTTGCTTCAATGTTTTACTGTTATAAAACTCAT